TCCTGTGTGCTCTGGTCAGATATATCCTTCTCCCGGAGCTGCGGATTTAGTGCCATCCTTTGAAATAACTTCTTCTCGGGGGAGGGGCAGGCATCCACTTAATATTTGGGGCTGGGACCAGGCCCCTCCACCTCTCCTCTTTGTGACAGCATTTGATGCACATCAAGTGCAAAACGAGCAAGGGAGCCGTCGTACTGCCCTGAGTGGCGCTTAGACGGAAGCGGACCCGCCCCTTTGCGCTGCCAGGACTCACCTTGGGGCTTCCAGGTGTTTTTGAAGTTGGGTTTTCGGTTCGACCGCGGAGCAAAGTTATGAACCCTGAGCAGATCCACCCCCGAGCTTGGGGCGGTTCAACAAGGCATCACGGGGCACCAGTTCATTCCTTTCCGGCTAGGCAGGTGCTAACAGTGAATGCACTGCATGCCCCAGCGGAGCCTTTGGACAAAGGCCTGTGGAGGCACTGCTGAGAGATCAGCCAGTGGGAAGCCCAGGGAGCCCAGTGCTGCTCTAACGCTGGCATCAGCCGGATAGCCACTGGTTAACTGGATAATGCTTGCTAGTGAGTAAAGGTCGCGAAGCGTGGGCAAACAGGAGACAGAGGAGGGTGGGAGCAGCCCCAACACGGGCTGAAAGCTGATCCCGTGCTGGGTGCTGAGCTGCACTCGACACAGCAACCTCACGGGACCGGTGTATGTGCATGCATGTGTCTACCAGGGAGGCGGTCCTGATGAAATGAAGACACTTGTCGAAGGAAGGTTCAAACTCCGGCTTGAAAAAAAGGGGGAGGTGGGTTCTCTCCCCTGAGGGATAAGAGGGTAGAAATATGTGGTATTGAGTCTGGCCCTCCCTGGGCTACAGTGAAACTGTGGACCACCTGTCCCAGTAGTCTCCATTTTCAAAGCTAAAGCTAACCAAGATGTAATGGGTTACCATGCAAAGGCGTTTTCTTGCAAAGGCGTTTTATTATCAACAGACAGTATCATGCAGAACAGCAAGTAAAACCCATGCAAAACTCCAAACATACTATTTTGTCATGCAGGCTGCTCTAAGTCTACCCCAGAGCCTAGGAGCTATAGGCTCCCCACCTGAACACCGTGCAGGCTGGGCTGACACAGCTCTGGGTGATGCCAACAATTAATGTGGGGGGCGGGCAGTTCCGAGCAATGAGGATTAGGGTGGTGGTGGTGGTGGCAGTGGTGAGAGAGCTGGAGACCAGGCCGGGGGTGGTGAAAGGGGGTGGGGAGGCGGGTAGCCCCAGATCTTGTGAAAGTAATCCTAAACCAAACTCACTGCCATCGAGTAGATTCTGTCTCAGCGACCCTCTAGGACAGAGTGAACTGTCCCGGTGGGTTTCCAGGACTGTGAGTTTTTACGGGAGCAGAAAGCCTCATCTTTCTCCTGACGAGCAGCTGGTGGTTTCGAACTGTGGTCCCAGGAGACAGAGACAGTGCCGGTGATGCTCACCATTTGTCCACAGGGGTTCTCGGACGAGTGGATCCAGGTGCTTGCTGGGCAACCAGTAACCAGTGGCCATGGAGTGGATTCCAACTCGCAGGGCTGCTGTGCTCCAGGTTTCGATGGTTCGAAGGTGCCGGGGGGTGGGGGTGGGGGTGGGGGTGGGGTGGTCTCGAGCCTCTAGCCTTTGGATCGGCGGTGCACTCTGAACGCTGCCCTGCCCAGGGACTCTTTGCAGGACAAGGAGCCCTTCCCTCTCCACCCCTCCTGACTGGGCGCCATTGTCAGGTTTACATCCACCTAGCAGCTGCCGCCAGGGAGTGTATTTTAAATTGACTGTATTCTCTTCCCCCAATTAAAAACAAAACACACTCAAATTAACGAGGCTGGGAGAGCTTCCCCCAAAATCTTTATTCTTTTTCTGACCAGTACGCTGGCTGGTACACACACTTCCAGGCAGGCATTCAGAGGGAGAAAAAATTTAATTAAAAAATTTAATTAAAAAAAAATTTTAATTAAAATTTAATTTTAATTAAAATTAAAACAAAACCAGGCAATTTTAAAGAGTGAAAGGATTTCCTCTCAGTGTTTCAAAAAACAGGATTATTCTTGGAAAAGATTTATTGACCTGCAACTGGATAGTGGAAGTTTTTACCCTAAATTTTATATGCCACCTCTTAACAGGGGAATACCTTAGGATAAACACTCAAGTGCTTTGGAAGGGCAGGAAAAAACTCTCCCATCAAGACTTGTTCTACTGGCTGAGACGACCTTGGGGCTCCTGCAGTCCATGGCAGATGCTTCTGTGCAGCTTCTGACCAGATGCCCTGGGTCATTCCTGCAAAACTCCGGGCAGGTGCCAGATCACCCTGGACAGGGAACATCTCTGTGTGGCCCTAGCCTCACGTACCAGCTTTGCCAGACCTGCCCCAGTCTTCATGTTATTGATCACCTTGTCCTCCAAGTGCCTCCAACACCTGACTCCCCACAGATCCCTGGAGAACCTGAGCCAGGGACCTGGGCTGTTATCAAGGGTGCCACCTTTCCCCTCCTCCCACTGAGTGACCCGCCGTTCTATGTGCAGGACACGGGGCGGGGAGGGGGTGTGTGTGTCACAGATTAAATTCGTTTCTTCAAATATGATAAAACATCAGACCATGAAATTCTCTTTAGAAACTCTGTCCCACACAATTCAGCTTGCAAAGCCAACTGACAAAACGACTGTGCAAAAACACTGACCTCCAATAAATAGAAACAAAACAAAGAAAAACGAAACAAAACAAAAAACGTGGGAAGAGCGAACGCTTTTTAAAAATTGAGCTTTTTAAAATGAACGGCTAGAGACACTAGCTGCTCGTCCAGGTGTGCTTAGGATGAAATGCACCGGGAAGGCCATTCCCTGGGCCCTTGGCGCCAGAGCGGCACTTCCTGCGAGGTCTCCTGGGTTCAGAATTCACAGTAGATGCCACCGCTGAGGTCCCGCACCACGCCCTCCTTAACCAGCCGGAGGAGGAGCCTGGTCTCCGTGGTCACGTTGTGCATGGTCTGGAAGGTCATGGCCGCCATGCACTGGCTGTCGAAGTAGTGCAGAGGTGTTCGGGGCTGAGTGAGGTCATATCCAAAACCCGCCAAGCTGACTTCATCACACAGGTGTGTGGCCAAGATGACAGCGATGACGCCAATCGTGGGGACGTTCTGAAGGGACAAGAAGACACCCCCCCCGCCCCCCCAAAATTCTGAACACAATTCACAGCTTTCCAAGTACTGTGCTAGCGACCAAAGTAATGGAAGCTGCTGCGCGTGTAAGTGGCTGTGCTTATTATTTTAATGCCACACACAGGCTTGCTGAATGTTACAGGCTGACTCTTAGCACCCCAACAAACGACAGCCTAGGATGCTTCTGGTGCCCAACCCCAGAGTTGGTCGTTCTAACACCTCTCCCCAACAGGATGTCTAGAGTCACAAAGCCAGCCCGTTTCCTCTTTCACCTGCGACGAGGGAACTGCCCTCATTCCACACCAAAATGCCTTGTTAGTGACGGCAAGAACAAACTACTCCTCAGTTCCAAAAACCAGTCAGTGCCCTGTCGGGTAGGAAGTAAACTCACCCTCCTGAGAAGGGCCCAGAGTTTGAAACCACCAGCCGGCTCCAAGGGAGAGAGATGAGGCTCTCTACTTCTATAAAGAATTAGTCTCAGACACTCACTGGTGCAGTTCTGCCCTGCCGCTGAGTCAGAATTGACTCGATGGTAGTGAATGTGATTTGTAGTCAAAATAGAGAGCTGAGCAGTCAATGGGCGGCGAGCTGTCCCCCCGGGGTATGTCTGGACAGACTGCGCCTACGTGGGATGTCTGGACGTTCCTCTCAAACACAGAGAATGGTTACCTTTCAAGAGCAACATTACCTTCTCTGGGCCCCCGAACATTGACCGAGGCTCTGAGTACTGAAGGATGTCAAAGGCAGTCTCTTTGATGATCAGCGGGTTCAGAATCCTGATGTGCTTCGGATGCAGTGGGATTTTTTCCGCCACTTGCTTCCAAAAGAACAATCGTACCCAGAATGGCTGAGGAGAGAAAGCAAACTGTGGTCAGGGGTGGAGTTGCGGTCCTTGCAGCAGAGGGTGAGAAGGTGGGCCCCAGTAATCAGGCCACCGTGTGGGTGCGCCCTATGCAGGCTGGGGGGTGGTAGCCCCCAACGGTAATTCTAAAGGAGCTGATTCTTGGCATCACAGCAAGAGAGCGACTATGGGAACAGCTCTTGCGTGGGGAAATCATTACTCCAGACAGTATGCCTTCTTGGGCCTCCAGAGGCACCATTTCACCCCGAGAAGAGCCAGGGAAGAGGCTCAACTCCCAGGGCACTCACTCAGGGCTGCAGGCCCCTGCTCTGGTCAGGCCTTTCTCCTGTCTCTCCACTCACTCCGCTTCCTACTCGCAGGATGCCTCTTGGTAACAGAATGCACGTCATTTCATATCAACATGAACTACCTCCCAAAGAGGGTCCAGAGACCCAGGTAACCTGTCTCGAATCCAGCTTTGGAGATAGTCCCCCGTAGGGCGCGCTTATGTGAAAAGGTAAGTGAACGTCTATGATTTTTGCAGATGGCTCGTGTGTGCCACTGGAGCACTGGTGGCTTAGTGGTTACTTGTTGGGCTGCTATCTGCAAGGCTGGCAGTTCGAAACCACCAACTGCTCCACGGGAGAAAGATGGGCTTCCTACTCCTGCCGGGGGTTGCCAGTCTTAGAAACGCACAGGGGCAGTTCTACCCAGTCCTACCGGCATCCACGCAATGGCAGGGAGTTGGTTTGTTCGTTAAGTGTGTGCCACATGCGTATGGATGCCCACGTATTCCTGACCGGTTCATCGTAGAGTCTGACCTCAGAGCACTGGGCGGGATCTTCAGCTACGTGGTCCCTGATTGCAGGATCAAGGGAGAGCACTCGTCTTCACAAAGGCCCCTCTTATTCCCCCTGGGGAGCCACTCACCACGGATTCTCTTTCGGAACAGTCCTCAGAGACAGCATGTCTATTCATCTTGTGTGTGTGTGTGTGTGTGTTATGTTTAATTGCTGTGAAAACATACATCAGTGGCACCTGCGAGAGCCGGCACTCAATGGCACTGCCTTATCTTTCCAGCTCTGGCAAGTTTTCCAACTTTGATAGGGGGCAGCCTGACTATGCCCCTGTCGCTTCCTGTTGGTGGGAAATATTTGCCTTTTCCTTCTCAGACACGTCTCCGTCATGCGCAGGTTTTATAGCACCCGGCAATTTATTGCATGTGGACAATTGAGTGACCAAGACTGCCCCAATCTCGTTGTGCAATCAGCCCCAATATCCATGTGTGTGAATCAGCTTCCTCTCATCCGAGAACTCAACCATCTGCAAATGGCCCCAATATGTCCGCTTTCGTCTGGTGAATGTGGTGGGGTGATTGGCCTTGGTAATGCAGCAAATTGGGTCCCAAACTAGACACTCTGTTAACTCAGGATCACAAGATTTACACCTGGCTGGCAGCCGGGCTCTGAAAGCCTTTCTTGGCAAGGAGCTCTGCAGGGTTTCTGCATGGGCAGGTGGTGGTGGTGGTGGTGGTGGTGGTACTGGGGCGGGGGCTTACAGGAGCATCAGACCGCAGCCTGGAGGGAGGGCTTACCAGTGTTTCATTCTTTATCATTGCTTGCAGCCAGTTGAAGTCAACGCTCTTAAACAAAACAGCAACAAACAAGTCATTGGAGTAATACTCAAGGTCAGACAGTGGAGCACCCTCTGGGTAAGTCATCCTTATCGTGGTTTTATTTCCAACGTGCTCTGAGTATCCCTGAACTGGTGCATGGTTTAACCTAAATAAAAACAAACAGACATTGAGGAAGCGAGCCTTGGTGACCGCCCCTTTCCCAGGCCCTCCTGCAGGAAGGCATCCCTCCTGGCAGCCTCGCCACCCCCAGACATCTGTCTTGTCCTCAACCTCAAACGCACCGCCAGTCAGTGCTGACTCCCAGTGACCCCAGGGGACCCGGTAGAACCACCCTTGTGGGTTCCGAGGACTCTTAAGGTTTTTGTTTTCTTTTAAAATGGTTTTTCTTGGGGGCTCTTACAGCTCTTCTAACATTCCATACATCAATTGTATCAAGCATATTTGTACATATGTTGCTATCATCATTTCCAAAACATTTTCTACTTGAGCCCTTGGTATAAGCTCCTTTTTTCTTAAAATCATTTCATTGGCTCGTCTCCTCCCACCACCCTTCTGTAGGGGGATGTCCAGTTGCCTACAGATGGGCTTTGGGTCCCCACTCCGCATTCCCCCTCATTCACAATATGATTTTTTTGTTCTTTGATGTAAGCTCCTCTTTTTTCCCCTCCCTTCCACCTTTGTGAATCCTTGATCAATTATATATTGTTATTATTATTTTGTATTTTATCCTGTCCGTTGTCTCCCTTCACCCGCATTTCTATTATTCATTCCCTCGGGGGTGGGGGAAGCTATACATCCAACTTAGTGATGGGTTCCGCCTTCCCCTTCCCCCTCACCGACCATCCCCCTCCTCTCATGATATCGCTACTTCCACTGCTGTTCCTGAGGGGTTTCTCTGTCCTGAACTCCATGTGTCAAGAGCTCTTATCTGTACCAATGCATATTCTCTGGTCTAGCCAGATTTGTAAGGTAGAACTGGGTCATGGTAGTAGTAGGAGGAAACATTCGAGGAATGATGTGTGTTTCGTCTGTGCTCTACCACACCTTGGTTGAGTCATCTCTTCCTGCTGACCATTATGTATGTTTTAACAGAAGGAGAAAGCCTCATCTTTCTTCCACTAAGCAGCTGGTGGGTTTGAACTGCTGACCTATGGTTAGCAACCCAATGAGTAATCCACTCTGCCAACAAGCCTCCTGTCCCTTCCTAGCTCTTGACAAATGCAGCTATCAGTCCACCGGGGATGCCACATCTAATCCTGAAATGTCACGCTATTTCATCTAGTTCTGCTGTTTTAAGCCAGTGCAGGCACATTACATCTTGGGCTTTCTCTGGGCACCGGTCAAGGTTCCTTGAAAGCTTCCCAGTGTGCTCAGACATTCAGAGTCCTTGCCACAATTTCAAAAAGCTAATTTAAAAGGGAAGCCCGGACCCAAACTGCAGTTAGACAGGGTAGGGGTGGGGTGCTAGGAGGATAGTGAGCCCCATATGGACTCTTGTCTTCTCTCTCTCTCTTTTTTTAGCTTTTCCTTGTGATTTGGGTGAGAAGTTTACAGAGCAAATTGGTTTTCCATTCAACACTCATACACATTTAACTCCATGTCCTCTATTGGAATCCCCACCATATCATTACACCTTTATCCCCCTCCCTCGGTGTGGTTCCTGGTTCTAGCCTCCCCCTTCCTGGTGCTCAGGGCCTTCAGTGCAGACGTTGCCTTTCTGATCTGGATGGCCGACCGTCTGGGGCGAGCTCACCACCCTGGTGTTGCTGCTCACCTGACAGACCGGTTACTGTCTGGCTGAAAGCTGATCCACAGGATGAGTTCAGTTCTAGGCTTGCAGGGCATCT